TTTTACATTTTGCATAAATTGCAGATTTCAATAGAAATTAGCACTTAGAGCATTCAGCTGACACTTTTAGCCAGTGAAATGGTGATCACCATGGTTTTCATCTTCTGCAGCTCTGCAGAAGCCAGATGTCTCACTGGACCACCAGGGAGCATCAGAGCCCAACGGTGATCCAGGTAAGGGGGCAATCCATAGCTATACAGTTTATCCCACTACCGGGAAATGGGGTCAGGGTACTCCAGGCAATATAACCACTACATGGATGTTTATGTGTTATAAGGACATTTATATATTTAGGAGACAGAGTTTCATTGGGCAGACTAGATGGACCAAATTGTTCTTATCTGCCATCACATCCTATGTTGCTATGTTTTATTAGAACACTTGTAACCTTTTATATATTCAAGCATTTTGTTATCTTAGGACGCCATATATGACTCCTTCTGCATGTGTGAATGTGTATATGTGTCTGTGTGTATGTAAGTGTGTAAACCATATGTATTTGTATAATGTGAGAGTGGATGTGTACATAGATGTGTGGATATCCTGTGTGAGAATGCACATGTATAGATATGTAATGCATAAATACATACTTATCGGTGAAAATAAATGTGGTGCCCAAATTAGTATGTTATGTGCTTGGGAATTTATATATATGTGGGAATATAAGGCCTGTGTGAATAAATATGTATGTTGTTATATTATGAATATGTGAATGCACGTGTATGTGTTTTTTCTGCAAATGGTTGTATGTGTATATTTATATGATTGACTATACATATAATGCATAACAGTGTACCGTGTACTACAACAATACATTTCATTGAGGGGTTCTGGAGCTATCTTAATAAATTAGAAGTATTAAGGCCTTAACAATTCAGAGATGGCAATAATTTTACCTAATATATTCTTCACTGTTATGTACACTGCTCAAAAAAATAAAGGGAACACAAAAATAACACATCCTAGATCTGAATGAATTAATTATTCTTCTGAAATACTTTGTTCTTTACATAGTTGAATGTGCTGACAACAAAATCACACAAAAATAAAAAAAATGGAAATCAAATTTTTCAACCCATGGAGGTCTGGATTTGGAGTCACACTCAAAATGAAAGTGGAAAAACACACTACAGGCTGATCCAACTTTGATGTAATGTCCTTAAAACAAGTCAAAATGAGGCTCAGTAGTGTGTGTGGCCTCCACGTGCCTGTATGACCTCCCTACAACGCCTGTGCATGCTCCTGATGAGGTGGGGGATGGTCTCCTGAGGGATTTCCTCCCAGACCTGGACTAAAGCATCTGCCAACTCCTGCACAGTCTGTGGTGCAACGTGACGTTGGTGGATGGAGCGAGACATGATGTCCCAGATGTGCTTAATTGGATTCAGGTCTGGGGAACGGGCGGACCAGTCCATAGCATCAATGCCTTCGTCTTGCAGGAACTGCTGACAAACTCCAGCCACATGAGGTCTAGCATTGCATTGTATTAGGAGGAACCCAGGGTCAACCATACCAGCATATGGTCTCACAAGAGGTCTGAGGATCTCATCTCGGTACCTAATGGCAGTCAGGCTACCTCTGGCGAGCACATGGAGGGCTCTGCGGCGCTCCAAAGAAATGCCACCCCACACCATTACTGACCCACTGCCAAACCGGTCATGCTGGAGGATGTTGCAGGCAGCAGAACGTTCTCCAAGGCGTCTCCAGACTCTGTCACGTCTGTCACATGTACGCAGTGTGAACCTGCTTTCATATGTGAAGAGCACAGGGTGCCAGTGGAGAATTTACCAATCTTGGTGTTCTCTGACAAATGCAAAATGTCCTGCACGGTGTTGGGCTGTAAGCACAACCCCCACCGGTGGATGTCGGGCCCTCATACCACCCTCATGGAGTCTGTTTCTGACCGTTTGAGTAGACACATGCACATTTGTGGCCTGCTGGAGGTCATTTTGCAGGGCTCTGGCAGTGCTCCTCCTGTTCCTCCATGCACAAAGGCGGAGGTAGCGGTCCTGCTGCTTGGTTGTTGCCCTCCTATGGCCTCCTCCACATCTCCTGATGTACTGGCCTGTCTCCTGGTAGCGCCTCCATGCTCTGGACATTACACTGACAGACACAGCAAACCTTGTTGCCACAGCTCGCATTGATGTGCCATCCTGGATGAGCTGCACTACCGAGCCACTTGTGTGGGTTGTAGACTCCGTCTCTTGCTACCACTAGAGTGAAAGCACCGCCAGCATTCAAAAGTGGCCGAAACATCAGCCAGGAAGCATAGGAACTGAGAAGTGGTCTGTGGTCACCACCTACAGAACCACTCCTTTATTGGGGGTGTCTTGCTAATTGCCTATAATTTCCACCTGTTGTCTATCCCATTTGCAAAACAGCATGTGAAATTGATTGTCACTCAGTGTTGCTTCCTAAGTGGACAGTTTGATTTCACAGAAGTGTGATTGACTTGGAGTTACATTGTGTTGTTTAAGTGTTCCCTTTATTTTTTTGAGCAGTGTATATAGGTTTTGTATTACAAGAAATGTTTAGGCTACGTTTAGTATTAGTATAACTGTTAAGGTTTAGACTTAAGGTACTGTTTGGGGTTAATATTTACAGGGATATTCACTGAAATTAGAATTTCAAAATTAAATTCAAAGTTGCTGCACTGGAAGGAACCGGGTCTACATTAAATTGCCAATGCGGGAATATATAACAAATATATATTTTTTTAATTTGAATTGATGACTTGGCTTAATAATTGAGTGGACTAAAAAATCATTATTCCATCCCACATACAAAAATATTACATTTTGCAAATGTGAGACTGGAGCTTATAGAATCCAGAAGATATATTAAGCCATTTGGAAAAAAAAAAGGTTGTGTAAGGCATTATGAACCATTAAAAAATGTGAGCATATTAAAACAATATAAACTGGCCTATAAACAGTCGAACGAAAGCCAGTTACTATCTTCAGTTCACAATAATTAATTAACTACTTCAAAAACTTCAGTATTGTAACAGCAACATGGAATTATCCAAACTCTGGTTGTATATGGGTTAATTAGACAACACATTGCTCTTAGAACACTAAGCAAAATTACTGAACTGAACTGAAAACGCCTAAAGCACTTTAGCTAGCTGGTGTGCTTCATGTGTAAAGTGCGTCCTCTTTTTTTATTTTCCAAAAAGTACAGATTTCAATGGAACTTTGCACTTTCAAAATTAGCCTTGTCACACACTGCTGGCTGTCCATCAGACATCCGGTCCTGTTACTTCCTGGTAGTTTAGCTCAGAGGAACCTAACTCAAGAGACAGGCAATTGCTCAGAGTACCTGACTGACTTGCAAAGAATTCTCATTGAGCTACACAGAAAGTCTGGGCTTACAAAGGCAGCACATCCAAGATTCGTTGCTTTTGCAAGCTTTTTTTTAGATATATCCTTAATAAAAAAAAGTCTATAATTAAATGCATGCAAGTTTTCATTGGGGTATATCTGCTATATAATCATTTTTTTATACTATTTTTGTTTGGGCAGTGAAGTATCTCTTTAACACACAAGTCAAACAAAATCCCTATACACCAGCTTCCTCAATCTAAAGTTTCTCAGTCTGCCTACAATTTATTTCTCCTAACTTGCAATCTAGCATATTACCCAAGCTGGAATGTTAGGTTTTGTAAAGGTCATCCTTCAGGATCCTACAAAATGATGTACAGGGACACAAGCCAAGATGGCTATCTATTACTTAGGACAGTGTTGGGCTGTCATTGGGCTATGCATTTTGGCAGAGGGAAGATGTCACCCACCAACAAATAGATGAATTGCAGGTTGTCTAACCTTGTGTAAGGACGTCTGAGCTCCGTTGCACCTGCAATATATACTGCGACACCATTTTATGTTATCTTTTTGCGATGCTTCAATGATGCGGTAATACATTTATAATGTGACTAGTCTTTAATAATGTCATGATTAATTGACTTGGGAATAATAATAATCATAGCTTTTATATATAGAAATGAATGAAGCACAACAAGATCTATTTACTAATTAGCAAGTTGCATTAATTTGATAAACAATTTGCAAAATTAAGGCCAAAATAGCACAGTCTGAGAAAAAAATCTCAAGGTTGCTTGTCCGTGTTGATTTTTTTAACCTAAATTTTGTCACCATGACTCAATGTTTAGTGAATGAACCCCTTTGTTTAATCTGTTTCAGGAATGCTAATTGTTCCCACTCTACCGCTGCTACTAAAGTTTATTTATAGGCCTTTTGAATCAGAGCGTCATCAAGCAGCATGAATCTCTGGATAACAACTTGTTTTATTCATGAGTTTACCCCACTCATTGCATGTAAATATGTGACAGCTTTGGATTGATTTGAAGCTGTCACTTTTTATTTCCCAACATTGAGAAATTAAGATCTAGAGTTCATTAACGAGTTATGACACAGAAACAATTCAAAGAGCTCTAACAAAATATTTAATGAAATTGAAAGCTAAAGCAAAAATACGAAAAAAGAATATGTGGATTGAAATCAGGGGTGACGGGTATTTCAGTAGAAGTGGATGTGACAAATAAGAAATTAAATACTCCAATGTTAGAAATAAATACATTTATTTCTAATTTTGAAATGTTCCTCTCCTATTTTAGAGCGTGGAACCCATCCCCCACCCCAAGAAATGCTACTTACCTCTAACACAGCAGCACTATCTTCTCGCATCAGCTCTGCTCCACCTCCTGGAGACTATTACTAGTGATGTTTCCCTAACCAAGTGTTGGGTGACACAGTACTATATCTTGAAATCTATACTTTTGTAAAATAAAGCAAAGTTTTTGTAAAATAAAGCAAACACTTTGCTGAAGTGCCTTACAGGTATGAAGTGTTTGTTTAACCACTCCTTTTATGTGAATATTCATTTAGTAGTGATATCCCGAACTGTTCGCCAAACGGTTCGCCACGAACGGTTAGCCGCGGACTCATCATTGAGTAAACTTTGACCCTGTACCTCACAGTCAGAAGACACATTCCAGCCAATCACCAGCATCCCTCCCTCCAAGACCCTCCCACCTCCTGGACAGCTCACTAAGAATGCAGCTTCACAATGGATGCTGTCCAAGAGGTGGGAGGATCTGGGAGGGAGGGTCTGCTGCTGATTGGCTGGAATGTGTCTACTGACTGTGAGGTACAGGGTCAAAGTTTACTCAATGATGAGTCCGCGGCAAACCGTTCGTGGCGAACAGTTCGGGACATCACTTTCATTTAGCGCTTAAAACATCATGATTTTTATCTTTGCTAGAATTGGTTCTCACGCAATCTACCAAGATAACATTAGTTCCTTTTGCATCTATACAAAGGGACTGTAAATGATAATTCAGCTTCTCACACGCAACAGCAATTTATGTATGTCAAATGAATCGTAGTTTGATAACCAAGAAGGGGAAGGATGGAGAGTGGAACACTGAATACATAACATAAATTACAGCAGAAAATGTTACTATCTGATATAATACAGTTGCTGAGTATAACCATACTTACTGTATTTGTGCATTCTGTTATACTGAGAATATGTTTGCATTCTTGTGGAAACTTACAAAGCTGCCTTTCTAGAAAGTCTGTCGGGTTCGTTGCAAAGCAGGATATTTGACTATTTTATTTATATATGTATGTCACATTTACTGTATAAGACAAAACCTCTTTGCAAAAAAAGCCCTCTAGGGTAGAGTTAACTAGACGTGTATCTATTTAGTGACCAAACAAAAACTTAACAAAAATGTTGGTTTATTTTAATTTTGCCAGAAAACTGACATCAGTCGATAAATTAATGAAGAACTGAATCGGCATCAACATAGGGTCTGAGATTCGTTAAATTAATTATATTTTTTTTCTAAATTTTGGTTTGGCCCAATCGATATTAATATTTATTTCAACCAAACTGAAATAAACATGCTTCCCTTGCACACTTGTAGCATTGACACATACTTTGCAAGGCATTTTATGGATAATGCATTTAAAAAATAGGAATAAAAATATGAAAAAAAAGATATGAATAACCAGCTGATTCAAAATGGTAAACTATAAAAACATTTCATGAAATTGTAATCCTTACATTTGACATCATTAGTCTTTCCAGGCTAAAAAGTGTTTTAGCCAATCTGGAGCCTCTCGTTAAGAACTGTCAACTGTTTGACCAGCATTGGAAAACTTTAAATACATGTAAGGAACTAACTGTTTGAAGTGACTCTGTAAGCACCAGATTTATTCTGTGGTGTTGGTTTAGAATGTCCCTGCAGTCTTGCAATTCTAATCAATGCCTTTTCTAAAAAACTGGCATTTGGAGCCTTCACATTGTACATTAAGACGCCCACACTCCCCCAAAGAGAATCATTGAGTTAATGCATTAATATGGGAAAGCATCGGATTGGCTAAGATCATCTTCACTGATGATATCAGCCATAGGAGAAGCAGCAGCCTTGTGGGACTAAAAGTAAGTGAATCTTTATTAGTATTCGAGGGAGCCTAAATCTAAATAGAATTTCTAACGTTAGCATACTTCTTTAACTCTCTTTGTATATTGCATGTGTGATAGACACTACCATGAATAAAATATTTCTCGCTCAGAAATAAATGTGCAAATCTACTTATTTATTTCTACACTGTATGACAGAGGGCTGTCTTGCTGCACTGCCTCAGTTCTGCTTAGAATGGGTTTATGTGACTTTTCGTTTAGTTATCTTCTTTCTACTTATGTACTACAGCTCTCAGAATCTTTGCTGTACTATTGATATGTCCAACTGTATTATTCTATACATAATTGCATAAAACTATACATTATTCCAAAATACAGGTAATTATTTATACAAAAAAACTATAAAAAATCATAAAAATATATATTGGTGCACTGCTGTGCAGGGCTCAGCTCAGTGGAGCTATCAGAAGGCTGTAGTCGGTGCCCACAAACAAAGTACTTTTAGCACCATTACCACTACAGCAGGCTGCAGTGGTTATGGTGCTCGGAATGTTCCTTTAAGTATATTAAAAGATGTACAGAATGATAATGTGAAGATCAATTATGGATAATGTTTAAAACTTCAGGGGAATGAGTCAACAACATAGGTCAACTGGAGATTCTCCAATTTCTAAATCCATATAGCTATACTATACTTCATATTACATAATGTCTTCAAGGCAATTCTGTAACTCAAACTATTTCTGACATAAGGATATTTTAGCATTTTGTAAAAAAAAAAAAAAAAAAGCAAAATCTTTAAAATAAAATTATTTAATCTAATATTCAACCCCTCCTGAAAATTAATGTTACCTTTTCCTGGAAATTATATGATTAATTTAATCAATATATTGCCAGGGACTTCAACCAGGGTATTTCATAGATCATTTAGCTAGTTCTCAAATCATAAATAATAAAAACTATCAATATTATAAAATACTCTAAATTTGCAAAGTTTCTACTATTGCTTTAAAAAACTGCTCCATTGGCCACATACAGTTTTTTGTTTGTTTCACATGAGTTAAGCAGTACTTTAAATGTAAAAAAGATGTCTTTTAGATGTCATTGTAATATTTAATTCTATCCCTAGCTTCAGTATGTAGCATGCAATGAGTAGTGACACTTAACAGAAACCACTGGCATTTTACATAATACAGTGAGGCAGAATGTGTTTAATTTACTGTGTCATGCTTCATATTACAGATATACCTCTAATGATGCACAAAGCAGGAGGTTATTTTTCATATCTACAGAAAAACATTTTCAAATTGGTATTCCAAATATTCAGCCCTTAAATTATGTTTTCCCACTTTGGTGGCCAAGAAATACTGTGAAAATGTCACTGACAGCAATAAATTCTCTAGTCCATGATGATGCTGATCATGATCACGAGGAAATCAATAAATATGTTGGTAATTAAAATGTTGGGAAATTACCATGGAAACCAGTCATATAGGAAGAAACAATCTGTTTGTTGCCATGATCATTTTTAACAGATATGTGGGGGAATCACCATGGAAACCAGTTGAATACGCAGGAACATTCCATTTTATCACCAAAGGCAAAATGTATGTGGCAATAAACCTATGTGTATGTATGGGTATGTGAAAATGAACCTATATACACGGAAATCTTTTATGTCAATGGTTATTGACATGGCGTAATACTGACAATAGTAATAGATTCTTCTACCTTTAGAGATGTAAGAAAATTATAAATTTACTTTAGTAATCATGCGGATTTAGCAAAATTATGCTGGCAGGACTCCACAGCCATCTTTAAAGGAAGTGAACTATATTTGTGGATAGGATTTGTGGATGTAATCTTAGAGGACCATGTGATTGTCCAACATCTCTGCTCCAAGAAGACTTCTGCTGACACCCATGAAGCGGAGAGAGTTGTAGTGAAATTCACTTTGGTACCTAATTATTTTTCATAAAGATCCAAGGATCAGTAGGCACTGAAGATAGCTGATACAATTCTGTGCCTCAAAGTAGTTGAGTATGCAAATTTGCCTTTATTCACACCCAAATATAGAATTCAAAGATTAAAAGACTTTCTCCACATACACTGATCAGGTTTTAATCAACTCCAGATTACATGACTGGTGTCACACATGCTTAGGCCATATTCTTCCCTTGTGGCGTAATTTCTAATGCAGCACACTATAACCTCTCAAACACTTTGTGGTTACATCACTCTGGTGTCATTAATAACATGACCTCAAGTGCTCAAAAAGAGTCTCATCATTCCTGCATAATTTGTGATGCAACTTAACCTATAGCTAAAGAATTGAGTCATTCCTGCTTCATTTTTGATGTGACTCAACCTGTACATAAAGAGTTATGTTCTTGCAGAAATTTTGACATGACTCTTCATCCAAAGCATTGGTCACATCATTATGGTGTCACTGGTGATGTGAAACCTGTTTCTGGTCATTTCTCTACCTTCTGGTACATGGGAAAGAAAGAAAGTTCCTGCTTCTGCCTAGGTGCCCTGCTGTAGCTGAGTCAATAGCACATTGCAGTTGTGATTGTTCATTCTAATCTTAGCTAGTTACTTCATTATTCTAATTTCTATGCTCTGACATTTTGGCTTATCTTTTATGTTTATCCTGTTTTCCTCTGCCCTTCGCCATGGCTTGTTCTCTGACTATTCTTAGTGTTAAGTCCAGCCACTCTAGGGACTGGCAATATGGACAATCCATGCTGTCTATTTTTCCTACTTTTGGAATTTGAATATTAGGGTCCTCACCCCCCATGACAATTAAGCTTTCTCTTCAGAGAGTAAGGATAACATCATGGTTGGCATGAAGCAAACAGACAATCTTCTGAATTCTGGAATAATATGAGAAAAAGAAACAATCTTCAGTCTGAATCTCAAAAACCTAACATATTGCTACCTGAAGTTAGGGCAACTTGAGGTATGAACTTCTAAGAGAGAATATTCAGAAAAAAATGGTCCAAATGCTTGAACTGGGGATCAATATGACTCTGAAATACCACAGACAAATACCAAGGGAGAGAAAAAGTTTATACGTGAGTCTCAGTTTCAGGAGTGTATTCAGGAAATGCACCAAATCCTGATTAAAGCTGCATCACTTCCTGATTCTGGAATCTGAAGGAGAATCTGAAGTTGCGCAATGCCAAACTGCACCTAATTTCAGAATGTTTTTTGGAATTGACTCCATTACATATGATCAATATTCCTGAATACAGAGGTATTGAAACCAAAAAATTCTAAAATAAGTCATAATTAGAATTGTATTTTGTGCTTTATGTAGATGTATTTTTTTCCGCAATCCTTCATGCTTTATTTGTGTCATTCTTTGAAGAAGAATACTTATTTTGTGAATAAGTGGCATTTTTTGAAATGTGTAATCAGAAGCAAAGCTAGTTACTTATTATCGGGAACATGAGGCTGATCGGAAAGAGAAAGGAATCTCTATGTCCCTGGAAGAATCCCAGATTTGCATGATTCAATGCCACAATTATACAAATAAAAAAAATTAAAAAAAAATTGACAAAGATAATTACATCACTTCAGTCATGCATTTATATTCAATGTAGATTATTGTGGTTGCTTAAAAAACAATTTGCAAAGTGCAAATACTTGAGGAAAAAACTTTTATTCGTCAAAAGAAACAACAACAATTTGAACAGATTTCAAGA